AAAAAAAAATTGGCTAGTACACTTTCCATGGACTATAAATTTGAGGGATATTTATTAGTCCCCCGATACATAAACTCAAGTCTCCAAAAAGCATTCCTGTGGAAGCTGAACTTTATTGTATTATCTTAAGGCTCATGTATAAAACCAAAAAGTTTGCTGGCTCATGACATGTCACATGTCCTGTTGAAACTCACTGAACCATTTCAGATTTGTAACTGCTCCTTTATTGTAGATAATAAAGATAAACATGATTATAAACCACACAAAATTAAACACTTATATAAAAAAAAAACTCAAAGAAAAACTCCATCCCAAGACAGTAAGCAACCAAATATCACTACTTAAAAAAATTAAAAGTATAACTTGTTGTTGTTGACTTTAAAAACTACCTGTAAAATGGCAGACACTGTTTCTCCTAATTTGGAGACAAAAGTGTCATAAGCTGGATTATTTTTCTATATTTTCATTTGTGTGTGTGTGTGTGTGTGTGAGAGAGAGAGAGAGAGAGAGACAGAGAGAGAGAGAGAGACAGAGAGGGGAGGCAGAGGAGGAAAGGAGAGAGAAATAGAGGTGTGCACATGCCATGATATGTGTGTGTGGAGGTCAGAGGATAACTTGGGTGTCAGTCCTTGCCTTTCACCTTGTCTGAAACAGGGTCTCTAATCATTCCCTATTGCAAATACCAGGTTAGCTGGAACTCAAGCCCCCAGAGAGTCTCCTGTTTCAGCCTCCCATGTTCCCAGTGTAGGGATTACAGATACATAGGTACTACCACTCTAGCTTTGATGTGGGTGCTGGGGATTTGAACTTAGGTTCAGAAATGCACAGCAAGCAGTGTACCCACTGAGTCATCTCTCTGAACACGGGCATCATTTTATTATTTGTGATCATTTATGACACTGAATATTAAGTTGGGAAAAAAATGAAAGTCAGGTCTTTCTACCATTAAATTTCTCAGACTGAGTCTTGGGAAACTGAGGCAGGAGAATCAGGAGTTTGAGGCCAGGCTAGGCTTCATACTGAGTCTCTATCTTAAAACAAAACATAAAAAAAACAACTGGATTGGGTGATACATGACTATAATCCTAGTGTTTGGTAGGCAGAAGTGGGGGGCATCATGAATTGAAGGCCAAGCTGGGCTACAAAGCAAGTTCAAGGTCACTCTGGGATATTATACAACAAGGCCTTGTCTTAAAACAAGAAAAAATATTCACCTCTACCCGCCCCCCCCAAAAAAATCCTCCGCACTGAGTTACAAATTCTACTTAGAAGAAAAAGAAATCAGAGAACAGAGGTAGAGATAGGCCCAGAAGAAATGCCCCATGGTGCACCCTGGATCCCAGCCTCTACTGGGGATGCCCTTTCAGAACCACCAGGAAGGAGCAGTGGCCCCACATTGGGTAAATGGAGCCTTTCCACTGACACGCTCTGTCGAGCCAGCCATAGAGGCATTTGCTTGTATGAACTTCTATGTCTAGATTTTATCCCCAAGTAGCTCATAAATTCCTTAAGAATATTTGCTACTTCTTTGTATCCTCAGTGCACTGAAAGCATTAAATATTTCATTGACTGAATAAATGAATTATTATTATTGCCTTACTGCAAGTAGTAACCGTAACAGTATTGATAATGATATTATAATAAGAGCTCTCATTTACTGAGTGAGAAGTAGCAGGTAGTTCAAGACTGTAGACTTTGAGTCAGGCCTGTAAGCTCAGCTACTTGGAAACCTGAGGCAGGAGGATGACAAACTGGAGGCCAGCCTGAATAACCCAGTGAAAGTGAGACCCTCTCTCACATCTGAATAAATAAGAATAAAGAGTCAATGAACTGAACATCCTCTGGCTCGTTAGCCCAGGTCCCACTTACTATCTGTGTGGCTCTGGGCAGATGGTATTAACCTCCCTCTACCTTACTTTGTCCGGTGGGTAAAATAACAGAACTCATCTCCTAAGATTATTATGAGGATGATTTGAGTAAATATTATCTTTAAGTTAATGCCTTAGGCACACAGTGCGTGCTATGTATTTAAAGTTAGCTATTTCCTTCCAGGGTCTACTCTGTTCAAGATTTGACTTTAACGCTACTTAATCCTTACCACCACCATTGATTGTGTCATGACTATCAACCGGAACACTGAAGCTTAGCAAGGTCTGTGGATTTCATAAAGACCAACACAAGTGTCTGAGCGAGTCTGCATGGGAGGTTGATCTCAGCCTTGCTCTGGGTTCACACAGTAAGTGTCCCCAACTGAGTAAAAGGAGACTCCAAGGTCCAGCTTCAATGACTGGCATCATTACTGTATTAAAGGCGTATTTGTCTTATAAAAGGAGAAGGAATATTACATGCATGTCCCCATGCCAGCTATCAGCCATATCAAGGACTTTGATTTGTTTCTCACGCCACTTAATGGACCTCAGCTCTCACCCTACATATTAGAAAACCAAAGCTCAGAGAGAGTACGCAGCTCAACAGAAAGTCACATAGTAGAGAAATTATTCAAGCCCAGCTTTGGCTTGCTGTTGTTGTTTCGGACAGTGTTTCCCCGTAGTCCCAGCTGACCTGGAACTTGCTATGTAGGCCTGGCTGGCCTTGATCGCACAGAGAACCACTGCCTCTGCCTCCTGTGGTTCTGGGATTAAGGACATGTACTCCTGGCCCCTGGCTAAGTTTTTAATAAAGGAAGATATTGAGTTTTTTTCTAATCTTCATTACCCTTCCCACACTTGTCCATTCCATCTTTAGCTCCATGTTCAATAATAAATTTCAAGTGGCTCATATATGCATTTAAAAAGCACATTTATTTATTTTCAATATGAGAGGGTAGGCACAGGCTCATGGAGGTCTGAGGGCAACTTTGGGGGGTTAGTTGTATCCTTCCACCATGTGAATTCCTGAGATTGAGCTCAGGTGGTTAGGCTTGGTGTCAGACACCTTCACCCATTAAGCCATCTCAACTACTTGCCCATTCTCCTTTTTATGCAGGCTCCAAAGTCATGAAGAATGTAAAATGGAACTTCAGGGTGTGTGTGAAGAAAGAGACCTGACTCTCTGCAGCCCTCTCCAGGCTGAGCAAGCAGGGCTCTGTGTTGGCTGGAGTGGGAGGGCAATAGTTTTGTTCTCCTAAATCACTAGGGTAGAAGTTCCCTGGGAGCTGGGAGACAATGCAGAGGGGTTGACAGTGCAAACTCTGTCCCAAATCTTTACCTTGGGCAGACTTCATCATGTACAATTAAAGGCTAGGGAACTCTGTTTACTTCCCTCTTCTTCTTCTTTTTTTTTTTCCCCCTGGAAATACCCCTTGTTTCCTATGAATCCAGGTGTGCATTTATAAGGATGTCTATTATATTTTAATCACCACATTCTCTGGCCCAAGGTACTTCCAGAACAAGAAAACCAGACTGCCTTTTTATTGTCTCCTTAACTGGGTGTTCCCCTCTCCCTCCAGGGTGGCTAGACTATAGGACCACACTGGGAGAAACCCTTGGTGTTCTTTCCCTTGCTGTCTATAGTGGTACCACCTCAATTTTAAAATGCAGGTGTGGACAAGTTCTACTTAAGACTTTCCAAAGGCTTCCTACGTCTGCAGGACAAAGCCAAAACTGCCCAGAAGAATGTGTAAACTGTGATCTGCTGCCATTAACGCCTGTGGCCACACAGCCCACTTGATTAGAGTGCATCCCCAAGGGACTACTTTCTGGTTTGCAAGCATGGCCTTTAGTTCTTCCCTTCTAGCCCTGCACACATGAGTTTCCCTTCTTCAGCTCCTGTTTGCTAGTCAGCTAGTCCTTCGTGTCTCATATCTCCACTGAAATATCACTCGTTGGGGGCTGGAGCAATGGCACAGTTGATAGTGTAAGGACGAGGACCTGTGCTTGGTCTTCACAACTCGGCACTGGAGATGCGGAGACAGGCCTCTTCCTAGGGCTCACCGGACAGCCAGACTAGCCAACCCGGTGAGTTCCGGGCCAGTCAATGAGAGTCCCTGTCTCATTAAAAAAA